GAATTAATATGAAAACAACTTTTTATTATTCATACTATTCATTGCAGGACTCAAACTGCGGCAACTGCTTTGAAACCATTTATTAAGCAACACCTTGCTGCCAATGAATTAAACTTTATATAATATATATGATTAAATCAACACTACCATTCAGTGTTAACATTCTTTACCAATTGAATTTTACCAATAAATATGCTTTGAAAGTGTATGAAATGATTATTATTTACAAAATTAAAGGAACTTAATTTATCAAGTCACCTTCTCAATAGTTGCAATGTACAAAGTTTTCTTTTTTCTTCTTTTTCTTGGTGGAAATTTTCCTTTACTTGCTGCATACTCCTCGATGACAAAATCCAGATCAACAGCAAATTGAGTCAGGTTTCTTACCTGGAGATATTCATCAAAATTAAAACACTAGATTATAATCATWCACTTTTTGGAATAAACAATCCTAACTCCTATTAGTCAAACAACAGAGTGGGACCTCCAGCTACTTCATGTATATCCCTACATTAAGATGTTGAGTGATAAACTCTGCTCAACCAGTTGACTTCACTTACATTCACTATAAACTGTTTTGCCATCACCATCACATCTCTTTATTTTTTKCCATCACAAAACAAAACAGAAATAAGGAAATAAAGATGAAAATTACTAGTACTAAATTACATTAAATAAAAGTAAGTAACATTAGACTTACTTTTTCTTGCACAATTGACACAAATGGTAACACGAAAATGACGTCCTTTTTGTTGACAACTAACTCTCTCAGGAAAAGAATCTCAGAGACTAATGTTTTTCCTCCACTGGTTGGTAGAGAATATATGAGATTCCTTTTTTCCTTGACTGCAGGTAAACAAAGGCAAGTCTTCTGCCACTCTATAAAAAATAATAAAGCTTAGTATCCGCTGAAAGTCTATGGGCTTTATATGTGGTCTTTTTTATTATTTTGCCCTAGGGTTACAGATACTGTACATGATAAACAGTATGGCCTCATGAACTTAAAAATTATGATTAAARCAGCCAAAAATATTAGACTGAGTTCTGCTTGAATTACTAGAAGATCCAAGCGTGTTACGCTGATTGTAGATGAGGAATTGAAAGAGCTGGCCTTATGTGTGGGGATTGCACAATYATTATAGATAAAATCAAATAATAAATTGTAATAAACAGAGACTTAATTCACAAAATAAGGTGRATCTTACCATAGAGTTCTTCGATGCCCCTGTACTGTGAAAACATCTTTTTAACATTCAAAGGAAGACCGTAAAACGTTTCTTCATGATTATAAACTGGTTCTGACTTTGCCAAAGAACTGTTACATTCTGTCTTAACTTTGGGAGTACTTGCTAAGTTGTATTTGTTGGTTGTACTTTCAAGAGAGGAATGAACAACATCGCTTATGTCAAAGTCAGCAAATAGTTGGTCATCACCCCAAAATTCAGACAAGCTATCAGACGWATTATAAGCAGCATTTTCAGCATTGAATTTTACTACATGGTCGKTTTTAGCGGTAGTTACATGGACTGTACATTCAACTGAGGAAAGCCTCTTTTTGTTGCATCTAAATGGAGGATTTAGGGACTTTCTTTTCACCTTTAACTGCTGTTTAATRCCYGAGGTTGAAGAGATAGGTTTTGCACATTCTGGTTCGCTATTGTCRCGTTCTTGGATGTTTGTATTACATGATTTTGATTCAGTGGCCTCACTATTAGATGTAATAGCATTTCTTGGAACGTTTATTAAGTTTCTTGCGTCCTTTTTAAATGAGATTTTCTTCACTGTTGCATTTGAACTTGTTGCTAATAACTTTGYTGCTGGCTTTTTCGAGTGCATGATAGAATGCTACTCCAGTCATTTTGGATCTCTTCTTCTCCATTGGTCCACCGTACAAAATCTGAAAGTGGACACTTCCATTTCCTGACTGATACAATGGGAAATCAGGTATATTTATCGCATTTCACAGCAAAATTACACTATAAACTTGCTCAAATATGTCAGATCGTGGCAGGCGTTCCTCACTCAGTGTTCGCTGACATCTCGCACAAAGATCGGCTCGATGTCGGCTTTTCGGTTGAGTATCGTGAGAAAAACAACTGAGCTACCAGGCCTTTTTATGACAATCAACAAGCGAAACAAAAATGGCGGCAAATACGAACGACGAAGYAGTCATCAAACACGTAACAAGATCTCTCGTGGAAATGCAGAAAAATCTCGAATGCTCAATATGGTAAGATGATTGAATACTCTATCTTTTTTAACTTTGATTTTTAAATGTTATTCTTTGTTGTATCTGTAGCTTAGATCTCTTAAATAATCCTCATTCTACGAAGTGCAATCACCAGTTTTGCTGGTAAGTAAGTTATATAAGAAAGCTTATTTTCTCGCTTATAAATATAATTTTTTGATTGAATTTTAAGTTAAGGTTCTTGTTAATCAAATGTATAAATTATCGCTGAAAAATACTTGTCTTTACCAACAAAGGTCGACCCATTTCCCCCTCCCTCGTCCCCTACAAAATTTTCACATGGTACTCCCCTTATAAAAAAAGCTTGCGCTCATTGTTGGCATGCAGGTAGTCTTTGATGAGGGAACTGATGACTCCCTTGTAAAAGTGCTAGGGTGCTTTGCTAGTAGACTATATTTCAGTGCCACAAATAGTTTCAATAATTATTGTATCATTAAATGAATTTCAYTTTAAGTTGGTACTGTATTGATGTCAAAGCACCCACATGGTTCAATGGTTCTATTTATTGTCTCAACAGGCATTGCATCAGCAGTGTTATTGAAAAAACAAATAAGAAGTCAACTAATCAATGTCTGTGCCCACTGTGCAAGAACCCTGTATCCCGTCGAAGTCTTACAGCGAATCCAAGACTTGCAGACATTGTAAAAGCTGTGTCCAGCTTACAAGAAGCCATTTTAAAGGACACAAAAGACATTACAACAGATTAATGGCTATGTTATGGTTGTGGAAAAACAGATTTTCTAATGATCATTTACTTAATACATGGTTTTCATTGCATAAACACTATTAAGAAAGGGTGGCTTACATTATGAAGGATTAAATGCAGCTTACGGGTAAGAAAAATATGTTGTTTTGACCAAAAGCCAAGTTTTATGATTCTGGGCATGGTTTCAAAAATAGCAAAATGTAGATGTAAATATTGCTTTCAAAAAAGTATATATGATGATTTAATACAAGAGAATTTTATGATGATTTTGTTTAGTGAATTGTGTATCATTAATGACTATGATAATGATATATTATTATCTTAACTATCATCATCACCATCCTTTTAATTATTCATAATATTAAATATTATTATCATCATCATTATTATCATCATCATCATCATTATTATTATTATTATCATCAATTCTTATTTTTTACATATTTCTAATATTGCATTCAAGCTATTTTCAAATTCAATTAATTTAAGATTAATACATAAATTTATAAAACAAATATATCCTGTCATCAATTAATTAATGTATTTCGTTCTGATAGAACAATGTGAGTATAATAGCCGACTTGCGAATTACGCATCAATAGTCACATACAAAGGAATCAAGACGAGGCGCCATGCTTTTTTGTGAAAAATCTATTGTCTTTAGCACGGCGCCTCGTCTTGATTCCTTTGTATGTGACTATTGATGCGTAATTCGCAAGTCGGCTATTAAATCAAGCAAAATTGCTTCCCACAAGCTTTTTGAATATTTCAAAAGTTGTATATAATATATTATATTTAGAAGCAATATCGAGTAGAATATACCACACAGGAAAACACCTATAAAAAACATCGAAAAACACCATCCACGTTATTTTAAGTATCATCACATAACAAAATCATGCTTATATCAACTAATGCGGGAGCCATTACAGGAAAAAARTTCATTCGGAAAAAGCGTAAAATGCTTTTTATAGCTTCCTATATCAATCAGGCAGTCGTTGATATCAAAARGAATCCACACAAATATATGATAAGAAGAAAAAATGGTGAAAACAGATCCGCAAATGAAAATATACTTATGAATGAATGCATGGATAGATGGAATGGAAAAATGAAAAAAATGGGAATAAAATAATAAAAAGAAAAAATACGAAATGAAGAATGGAAAGTACGTGATCCATTCGTTTTGATAGGATTGATTCGTGCGTAATTGCTATCTTTTTTTTAATCCGGGTTGCGAGTAATGACCACAATGACATCACTTCCGGGTAATTGCCAGAGAAAATCTAAATCTTCTTGTAGGTTTTAAGAAGATAAAAAAAATACGTCAAAGATGTCGAGACGACGGAGATCAAAACACATTGTTTTTTGCCTTGAACTTTACTCTTATACTGATAGTGAATGTTTAATATTACAAAGATATCGGGTTCAGATAAATAATCCATTTGCCGAAGGAGTATATATTATCTGAGCTCACTTATTTTTGTTTTCAAATCTTATGTTCATTGTATCGATATGAACGACCGGAATAGTTGTCAAACTGATGGATTCTGTTGATAAAACTCAGTTGTAATAGCCTTCGTCAATCGGCTTAGTATTTGACATCAGAATAATTGCGCGGCGGATAATTTTACTATCATTCATATATCCGCTCTGCAGCTTTTTGAGGCAAAATCAGCACCTATTTAGCTTTAAGCCAAAATTATCTAGATTTTTAGCCGGGCATAAGAAAAAMGTTTTTTTAACGATCAGCACTGACGCAGACAATAAGGTTGAAATGGCGATAAGCGAAATGATTATCCAATACTAAAAAAGAGTGACCAAAATACCCTTAAATGGGGATTAGTGATGGATTGTGAATTAAAGTCCTCACTGATGATGTTATATATAAATTCTCTWGTATTGATTTTGTTTTAACGAGAGAGAAGGCAGGCGTCATAAAAGCCGAACAGCTGCAAGGCCTTTTTTCGGAAATTACGAATAATCTAATCTTAGATATTGTAAATATTACACAAATGTTGCTTGGAGAGAAGAAGTAATGTTTTTGGAATAAAATTGTCCTTGAGGACTTAATATGGTGACGAGCATTAAAAACAAAATTGCCCTCTTTAGAATCCCGGATGTGAAAAGAATTTGATCGAAAAGAAATTGATTCCTGAGCCTTCGAACACTTTATCACAAGTGGAATGCATTTTTAAATAMAACATAATTTCATAACATCATCGCCAGCCAACCTGAATTCCTTGTTATCCATATAACGATAAAGAATGCATTTATGCAAACGTCTGGTATAAAGTTGGAAAGAAACGACAGAAGTTAATAAAGACAGCACAAAATAAATTATTTGATCTGAAAATTAAACGAAACGGCTCCAGGTTCTCGCGTCACATAGACAACATGGAGCTGGTGGGTGGAACTACCGTACAAATGTGCCTGAGATATAAGAGACTAAATCCAAAAACACTTATTTTATCTGACAGGAAAGAACAATTATAGAAATCTTGTTGTTGTCGGCTAAATGTTAGCATGAGCGAGATGAGCGATACATTTTGGTGTTGCACTTAGTGCACGGGAAGATCACATTGCAAACCAAGAGGATTTTCCTACTTGTTTAAAATTACGCACTTAACCGTGGCGGAAAATCGGGACTTCAAACTTAAGAACTTAATTTTATTATATTTCACTTTGATTTTCTATTCTATTTYTTGACAAGCSACAGAAAATGAAAAAAWTTCCCTTTTCCGTCTTGSGCTTATTTTKTKMTTTCKTTTTGTCATRTTAATGATGAAATTGCAACCGCCCATAACATCAGATACTTTACGAATATGACCCCGTGGTCTTTATTATATCACCTTACTATCCTTCCGTCAATAAATCTAAAAGAAAACAATATTTTTACTTTGCTTAAAAGCGTAATATTGCTTATGAGCTGTCGGATATTTTCAAGTCTTCAAATGCACAATCAATTCATTGACTCCGTTTCGTGCTATCGCTTCGCGCGCACAATTACGACACTCTGACATCGGATACCACTTAGATCACCCGGGTAACGAGGCTTTTTCCCCAGAAAGATCCGTTTTTCCATAAGAGTGCATAACCTGTTAACGTAATTATTGTTTGAAACTATGAAAKCACTCCAATTTGTATGTAGGCGGTGACTGCTTCGATTTACCGAATAGGAGTTGCCTTAAGTGGTCACATCTCGCCATCCTCTCTACTGTGACAACGCACTATCCAGCTATTACGCAGCTTGGCATGAATTCGTCGACGTGTAATGTTAGCCTTGGAAACTCTTCTTGCCTCTCAGCAGTTGTACTCCCTCCGTGGTACCAGAATGGCTACAGTGTCACTATGTTTGTGTTGTACATCGTTGTTATCTTGGCTGCGCTTGTTGGCAATATTCTCGTCTGTACAGCAGTGTACATCAACCCACATCTGAGGCATAATGTTGCGTCTTATTTCATTGTGTCATTGGCCATCTCTGACATCGGTACCGCAAGTTTTTCCATGCCTTTTGACGCGGAAGCGTTCACGACGTACAGACGCTGGTATCACGGTGAAGTGTTGTGCATTGTGTGGACAACGGCGTATCTCTTCACGGTTCCTTCCTCCATTTGGAATCTATTCATAATGAGTATCGATCGATACAAGACCTTAAAGAATCCCTGGAACCGCTTCAAAGAATCGCACTCAATGACATCAAGGCGTGCTAACATTACAATAATAGTTCTCTGGGTTTACTGCCTGGTTATTGCCTTACTGCCTGTCACTGGCTGGAGGTTTAAAGCCTACCCACGAAGCGTTATTAATAACTATTGCGCCTTCAATATCTCCAAGTATTTCAGTTTAGTGGGGTCCTTTGTCAACTTTTATCTACCGATGTTTGCGATGTGTGGAATTTATTACAAAGTGTACAGAATTGCTCGCGCCCACAGAAAGTTCCCCTTGGCACTCGAAACCCGCTTCCATAAAGTCTCGACTAATGAGTCTCAAACTGCAAGCACGCAATTTCCAGGTGATAGCATGAATGTTGGTAGACCTTCCATCGACCAACAACAAAGTCACGATTTAGAAAACAAGCAAGGCAACGATACTGTTGGGTTGGAGAATGTGTCATTTTGCTTCGAAGAAAACAATTGCAGTTCTAGCGGCCGCGATTTTGGCGCGAGAAAAGATAGCCCACGAAATGCCATTTTGAGCCGCGGCAAGTGTACGAAGGACAAAGGACAAGTGACTGACAAGTTAGCCCACGGCTACTCTGAAAGCTCGCTTAATATGGATGAGCAATATTGCTCCGAGGAATTTGTATCTGCTAAGCATTTTCATCCTAGATATAAAAGAAAAAGCTATGGGCAACATGACAAACGGAAAACCAATCAAGATTGCATTGCACAAAAGTTGGAATGTGATGACACTACACTTGCCGAAAGCGATGCAAAGTGCACCGTCAATGAAGCCAAAGCGACGTTTATTATGTCAAATGAGAGAGCTTCAGCTGTTGAAGGGCGACTTAACTGTCTTGAGAAGGATGAATCTCATGTAAGGAAAAGTGGTTTAGAGAAATCTCATAATGACAACACTTGTATGGAGGACGACGCGAAAACTAACCACGCCGATTCCTCCGAAAAAAGAAAGCACCACAACACCCCTACCAAGAGTAAGATTGATTTTAACGCTCGCAAAAACAAAGATCGACATTTTCCTTTGGAAAAGAAGCTCAAGCATGAAAGCCCTTACCCAAACGAAGAAGGCTGCAGTCTTAAAAAGTTTCGGCAAAAGTCTGATGAAGATGCTAGTCCACTTCCAGCCACAATCACCGAGGTAACTGAGGGAAAAAAGAACGATACAATAACCTCTTCTAACAAAAGAAGAATGAARCATTTCGCTGTGAATACCAAAGCTGCGCGTACAATTTCTATCATCGTTAGCGCGTTCCTTGGCTGCTGGATGCCCTTCACTACTTTAAGCGTGACTTTCAACTTCTGTGGTGCRCCGTGTTGGAAAATAAAGGGAATTGACATTTGCACTGACGTTCTTCTTTTGCTGGGATATGTTAACTCCGCCATTAATCCTGTACTTTTTAGCTATCAAAATATGAACTTTAGAAAATCGTATAGGCAAATAGCCCATTTCTTTTTGCAATGTTTTAAAGTATGTAAAGATGACTGATTAGGCAGTCTTTTACCCAGGCGTGCATTGCAAGCGCGGGCGGGTCCTGTGACGCCACGAGAGGTCAAGGAASAGCGGTAAAGCTGCGACTTTGCTTCGTCCATTTTTTTGTTTTGGAGACTGGGCCGAATTGTGACGTAATTTTAGTGATAGCTTTTTCACTGACAAAGCAGAACGATGGCTAACTCAATTTAAACTTCATTTTCTAATGGCTATGATTAATAAATCGTCTTTTAAAAAATATAATCTATTTCGTGTATGTAAATCTCACATGTAAAATCATCAGTTTATAACAAAAACATTTAAAGCTGATTTTTTTAAAAGAACGGGARCTCATTGCAATACGTGATCTAGAATCTAGCAGCTGTTGCAGAAAAAGTAACATATGTAAAGCGATCTCATTCACGACGGAATGATTCTTTGTAAAACCATCACACTGTTTACAAACGACACGATAAGAAACTCGTCAGTATCGTGTGTGCTGAATACTAGCAACACATGAAAATATATTAACTAAAATATTTCACTTCATATTAAAAGAACAAAAGCAATAGAGTATAGACTTAAAAGTCGTTCGTTTATTTTACTGTTGTTATTACTTAACTATTGCACTTTACACTTTACTGTATTAAGTTTAGAATGCGCGATTTTACTCAATAGTATTCGCCAATCATTTGTGTTTTTAATATGTAACGAAATATATCAGTAGAATGCAATTAAAATGAYCACTCTTTGTTTGTTGTGTTTTTCTTTACGTTTCTGTGAAGTTAAAGGTCATTTTTTGCGGCAAGATTGAGAGATTTATGACTGTTCCCTCTATCTTCACCAGACGGTAATATAAGCAACACAAATGCTTAGCTTGGGCTACCTGTGTTTACTGTCCAAAGTTTTACATTCAGCAAAATAATACTTATTCTTTGGTCGAGAGCAGTACAGACCTGAATGTACTATACAAATAAATTTAGCCTGAACAAATAAAACCTTAAACCTGTAATAGTCACTACMTACAAGGAATTGTTTGAAATATACAAAAAAGTTGTTTTCTGTTWCCTATCATTTTGGACTTTTTTTGGACGACCTAATTTATATCAGTATAAACGTTTCTGTAGTGTTGTCTATACAGAGAATACACAACATATGTGTCTACCACTATGCTGCTTAACAATTTATTTAGTAGTGTAGTCAAAAATAYGGTGCAATAAAAGTCAATTTGCTTCCGGTCAAAGTTGTGCATAATTTTCTTCCTCTAGACAATACGCAGCTAACAAAAATGATCAGTTCCATCTGCTAGACTTAGTTTTTAGCCATATATTACTGACAAAGGCACCTCCTTATAAAATGCTGGATTCGCCTCTGGCTTGCATCAGTTTATTAGATATTTATGAATGATTTTACCATTAATCAAAAGTATTGTTATCTAGGATAAATACCTTTCATCATATCATACTAACTATGATCATATGCTAATATCAAGTAAATGACAAAACTGTTAATAACAGCTGTTTTGAAGTTGTCAAAATTGGTATAAGCAAGGCGTTGCAAACGAAAACGGGTTTTGCCAAATCATTTTAAAAATTGTAAAGAAATTACAACTACCATCATGCTTTGCTGTACAAAATGGCGTCRCTGCASATTGCCTATGAGGTAAATCCCCGATACCTTGCAATGAAACCTTTTTCTTGGACTGAGCCATCAGTGGTGAATGTAATGAAAAGGTGCGAGGAAGTACTTGAGATGGTTCGTGGTTTGTTTCTTTCGTGGTATCGACCGATTCTAGTAGCAGAAGACGACGATCCGTCATAAATATCGACTAGGTCATGATATTTASTGTTTTCTAATTTGAACGTGTCAAACGTTATTTTTATTTTTCCGTTAGGTTCAAGCGTTTGAAAGGTCCAGTTACACTTGAAATTGTTAGGGTACAAGTCAGGATATCCTGGTGATTGTATCGTTCCATTTCTACCAGAGCTTGAGTAGCTACAATTACTTGAAGAGCTTGTAACTTTAACCAAATCTTTACATAAACATAATAAGAATTAAGGACATCCATGTGTTTCCTTGTTGCAGCGAGTACAGTGTTCTAAAGGCCGATTTACACGGTACGATTGTCGCGTGCGGATTTTGGGCCGTGGTTCAAAGTCCTAATGCAAGTCGTAGGTTGCGTACGAATGTTGAAATGTTGTAGGCAAGTCATAGGTGGGCATTTACATGGCGCGATTTGGAACCCATTTGAGTCGTATACTACAAGTCGTACACGACAATCGCATCGTATAAAACCGCCTTAAGGCCAAATTTAGACGGTACAACTATTGCCTACAAGCCAACAACAATCGAATGCGACCCATGCGTAAGTCAACATGGCTACTGACTCCCGGGGGGGGGGGGGTACTCGACCCCGTTTTGGATAGGTACATGCCGCCAGCGGTCTAAATCCCTGACCCTATTTAAGACACTAAAAAGGAAAAATCCATACCCTGTTCAAGACAAATCGGAAAAATAAAGAATAGCTATCTACGCCGCAACCATCAAAACTGCAATTATACTGACATCCATCAAAGACAATAAGACGTTTTTGATAACACGTTAATCCTGGTACAGTGAAACGGTATTTCTACTATTTCGACGGTATTTCTTATGAAGATATTACCCTGTCCMAGAYACACACAAAAATTATCTCGGTCTTTTATCTAAATTGTAGATTCGGGTGAAATGTATACCCTGTTTAAGACAGCAAGGCCAAAAACCATACCCTAGCCAGCGGCACGTCCCCGTATAGCAAATATATGGGAGTACCAGTATTCTCTACAATAACGGTGTTCACAAGTAAACGCTGGATGAAACTCAGGCTAGGGAGGATCGAAAAACGTTTTTCAAGGCCTTTTTTGACAGGAGTTTTTTTTGACAGAACAGCGGAACAGCGCATATCGGCATTAAGAGCTCCAATAAGCATTGACAATTGTCTGTTTTGCTCACTTGAACTAACGAACTAACGAACTATTCTTGAACCCGAGTTAACAGATGTTCTCTGAACTAAAAGTAGAAAGCAATTCTCAGCTTTTGTTGTTGGGCTTTTCTCGATGTATACAACACAGGGTTCCCAAAGGGTTAGGTTTAGGGTAAGGGATAGGGTTAGGTTATACTGAGGTATATAGAGCGTATAATGAGTGTTGTATACATTGAGAAAGAGCCGTTTCAGGTATGTGCGAGTGTAATGGCTCGGGCCCTGATTTTTGCGTCACCCTTTACAACCGAGAGAGAGCGGAAATTTTAGAAAAGCAGTATATAGTGAAACATGGAGAAAAATGAGATGCAAATGGGCTCTCAAGAAATTTGGCTGTGAACTGACCTGTCTCACAATTTTGTCCATAGAATCCGTCTTTGCAAATACATTGGTATTCCTGTCTGTTGTCTTGAAGAATACATTCACCGGCATCAATACCACATGGTTTTTCCTGGCATGCATTCTTAAAGAAAAACGTTTTATTGAAGTTATGAATGGTAGTGAGAGCAGGAGACATTCCAATTTTAGTCCCATTTTTGTGGGTTCTACACAATGAAATCGGTCTAAAATGAACGCTTTTATAGAATAGTGGACTATGGAACGGCAGACTGACAAAGAAATCAAAAATTTCAAAACGCGGGAAAAGTAGAAGATGGGAAAAATATCGAATAATTTGTAAAATCCTACCTTGACACTGTAATGGCGATACAATTTATTCTTCTTCAAGTAGACCCTGCGTGTAAATTGATCCGACGATAAAAGCTGGCAGAAGTAAAGACCGCTTTTWAGGGGCATCGTCTGGAAATTCACCGAACGGCACCACGGAACATTGATACACGCAAATACACAGTCCATCTGGTCTTTAACACTAAATGACATGTTARGCTTAACGCCTTCCAAGTCGTTTGGAAGAGAGAGTTTTTGCTTCGGGTAGGAATCGAAAAGGAGTCCTGCTTCGCGATTGTAGTAGCTGACGCTGTACTGGAAAATCATAAATAGGACAAAAGCAAGTGTAAMCGCTGCCGACCAGAAATCCATTTTTYAACGTCTAAGCTCAGTGTTCCTTCTTCAACCTTGAATTTTGTAGTAAATGAGCACACTTTTAATGGATGAAGTTTATGAGTTCTATTTAGTTTTGGCATAGTTGACGTAATTGAGTTGATTAAACAAAAATATGACAAAGTTAGTGCTCGAAAACTTTATAATTTTGAATTAATGATGTGCCTTGGGAGGTATTCGTCGAAAGAACTAATGGATTTKAAGCAAATTGAGGGTTATGCAAGTCATTAGAAACATATGATAAAATAATTCAGTAAAATAGTAAAACAATTCTCTAGTATTGTTTAATTGTTAGTCGTATTTAGCAGTAAACGTGTGTACTCTACCAACATTATTGTAGGTAACATATGTTTTTCTTTTTGTAGATTTGGATAGGAAAGAATACTTCAGTAAAACTTATATCAACAAAAATCTAGTCCTTTTCATGAGTCAATAGTGTCAAATTTTAGAAAATACCGTTTGACTTGTCAAAATGTTACCCAATATTATCAGTAGGGTGTTTCTTTCGTTTTTTGTTTTGTTTTGTTTTTTTTTTTTGTTCAGTTTCTACTAATTTGCTCCATAGATAAGTAATTAGGTCGCTATTAGTCTACATTGATTAATATTTTATTATCTCAGTAATCTGTATTCATGGACAAGGTATTTTGTCTCAACTGAAACCTGACAGTCGAAGGTGTATGATATAGAAATAAAGGAAAGTTTTAGTGCTAGGAAGGAGGGTTATTCAGGGAGAAAGAACCTTGGCCCGTGTGAAAAAGTTCACACAATTTTAAACGTGAAGGGTTTTGAGGTGATCTGTTTTTGCTTACTTATCCAAAACTGAATTTCTATTTCTTTGGAATAATTCTCGTTCGTCCTGCGAACCCATATTTGACCGGTAATCGGCGACTGAGGAGGACCAACCCCTTACGTTCTCGAGGATGCTTGGGCATTTGATAGATTTTTGTTGCCTTTACTGAGTGATTCACCAAACTCATGCAGCTCTTACAACTTATTTGTTCAGCTTGTAACTGTTTACAAGAAAGTTGGCCAAAAATGCAAGAATTTCAACCGATATATAAGCAATATATTTAAAGTGCCTATGAAGCCTGACAAAAAAATTCTGATTCCCTGTGAGCTGATTCTATATAAAATAAATAATTGAATGGTGAAATATTCCTGCATTTCAGTGTTCTGCCTTTGAGTTATGAAGGTTTAATCTTCCAATATGCTTATGATAATGACGTCAAGGGAGGCTTCATTAGATATACGAACTTTGAAACAGTCGCTCAAAAAYGTTTTCATGAACGCCATCTGGTATTATGTTTTCTATTCGTATATAGCGCGATAATTTAAACAGAGTAATAACTCTGGTTCTGGCTGCATAATATTGTTGATATCGGCTGATGTCTATGGAAAAAAAGAAGACAACTTAAAGTGCCTATGACGCTTGACAAAAAAATTTCTGATTCTCTGTGAGCTGATTCTAGTAAAATAATAATTGAATGGTGAAATATTCCTGCATTTCAGTGTTGCGTCTTTGAGTTATGAAGGTTCAATCTTGCAATATGACGTCAAAGAAGGCCGCTTCATTAGATATACGAACTTTGAAGGAGTCGCTTAAAAATGGTTTCATGTCATTAAATTTATCGTTGGCAATTTGGAATAACCATATTACCATATGGCGTTCATGAAAACATTTTTGAGCGACTGTTTCAAAGTTCGTATTCTAATGAAGCCTCCCTTGACGTCATATTGCAGAGCAGACCTCAATACTGATGAATATAATGMAGTAAAGGACGGGGAGGGTTGGGCAGCAATTTTTTCTTGTAGGATATTTTTGTTTTTTTGTTTTTTTTTTAGATACACTTTGTCATTCTCAGTAGTATTTTTTTCAAATTTGGACATTTTTTCTTTTTCATATTTTTTTATTATTTCATTTAAAGCTAGTATCAAATTATTATTTTAAAAAGAAATAATAACGCATCCCCTTCATACCAAATACCCTTTTAAACAAGAATCTTTTTTGCCAGATAATAATAAGGTTCTTTAGCGAATGTTCAGTGTACATGTACTAAAAAAGTGGGTTCCCTGTGCTCATTTAGGTCACGTGATCTGGATGTTCGCGTGACTTCTGCTGCCTGCTGGAAAAAGATTTGATCCGAATTTCTTATGGAGCAAAAGACATTTTCCTTGAGCACGTTCTCTGRAAATATAAGCTGATAAAAAAGGTTAGATAATGAATGTTACATAAACTTGTTTCCCTCATTATTTTTTGAAAGCTGAATTAAATCGAAAATATGGCAACTTGGTCTTCGAATGGGCACTGTTGACAGGGGAGGGGGTGCATTTTTCAGAACAGACGGTTAGTAGGGGGTACTATAACACCTAGACTTGCCACCGTAAGTCGACCACACTGTCGGGTCTATATAACACCGTCCCCTCTCAATATGAATGAAACTGTCAATAAATGTACATCAGACTTTCCAAATGGTAAACGTTGTACAAATGACCTCGAAATGATCTTTGACCTCATTGTCTATTAACTTATGCCATTGATCTCTTTTGATGTAAGCTTATGAAATATGCCACAGCGTGAAGAATAGCAATTCAACTGTAACAAATACTGAGGCTCTCAAAGGTTACAGAGACTGCCAGTCAATCATTGTCACCCCTTAAATCATTGTTACAGTTGAAGTGTAATTAGGGAAGTTAGGTTACTGATGAGTGTACTTTCTGATTGGTATCTAAATTCCCACACTGAAGCATAATTAAGGCAAAACAAAATTAAAAGAGATCAATGACATAATATATACTATATCTTAAGTCACGCTCAAGACAAATTATTATCTTTTCAGTTGATGTTCATTGAAACTGTTCAGTTGCTCCTCAATGGATCTGTCTTCAGTGTTACGATATGCTATTGAATTCCTTAGTGTCCTGGCGTTTTATTTGGTGCCATTTTGTGGWGCATTTCAGCTTGGAGTGTATATTTTATACAAGTTGCTATTTACCCCATTATGGCCTCTGGTGCCTCTCTATTTAGGATGGACATTCCTTTTTGACTTGAATACTCCCAAACAAGGTGGGAGACGTGCAGCAAGCTTCATGAAAAATTTACCACTGTTCAAATTTATTCGGGATTATTACTCAATGACACTGGAGAAAACTGCAGATCTTGATCCAAGCAGAAATTATATTTTTGGATATCATCCCCATGGCTTAATTGCCATTGGTGCTGTGGTTGGCTTTCAGACAGAAGCACTTCAGTTCAATCAGAAATACCCTGGAATAACTTCTCATATGAGTGTATTATCTTGTGAGTATTTTACATTCTTTTATCAAGGTGGATTGTGGGTTTAATGTTTAACCAGTGCTTCACAGTTTCAACTTATCTTTGTCAGTGTGTAACTTGCAATAACAGAAGCACAGACCACGTAATTCAATAAAAACAATACAATAAGAGTAGAAGCTAAACAATACCCTGAACACAAAAAAACCTAACCCTAATAAATAAACCTAACTATAATACAATAGATTGTGGTGTATATACAGAAAGGCCCGGAAATCCAGGGTTAGGATTTTTAAGTGGAACATGAATAATTTTCTCCCTTTATAAAGGCAGTACATTAGATTTATAGCAATAAGTGCCATGCAAGTCTGTATTAAGCTAGAACATAGTCCAGTAAAAGGGTAAAAAGTCTGGGGCTGGACTAGCCCCTCTCTTCCTCTAGAAGTATTTCTAGTATATTTTTTGCATATTTGTGTTATAGGTTTACTGAAAGCTATTCTATATAGAGACATTCTTATGAGTCTAGGAATAGTTGAAGTGTCAAGAGATTCTCTGGAACATATTTTAACTGCTATGGGACCAGGACAGTCTGTTGTAATCATTGTTGGAGGTGGGGCAGAAGTAGCAGAAACTGGGTACCAGGACTTTTACTGTCTCACCATGAAGAGAAGAAAAGGGTTTATTAAGTTAGCATTGCAGACAGGGTATGTTTACTTGTCGTTGATGTGGTTGTGACTGAAGTGCATTTTAAGTCATGAAATCACAGCATACTAAAACAGTGTTAATATGGCTGCTGGTTTGCTGAAAATTATTTCCTCTTTGCAATGTTGAACTTCAGATTTGACCATGAGTACAAGATTGAGTACGAGTTTTGAAATTGGCCTAAGTGTGCTATTAATCATGAATTGCATTCCTGTGAATAGATTAAAACATGAAAGGAATAAAAACACAAACTGGATTGAAATCCAGTGAGTCCAGTAGTGGACAGCACAATAAAAAGCTGGTTTGAAAACTTGTTCTCGTACTCGACGTTGTCAAGTCTGAAGTTCCCTATTATTTATTTTGGGCTTCTACTAATGGCTTAAACCAACAATAACTCAAGAAAATGTATTGTAAACATTTGGATAGAGTGCTCCCACTTAAAGTGTGAAACAAATAGTACTAATTACTAATAAATAGTGTTGATTATACAATAGGAAACAAAGGAATTTGTATAATTTATCCCCTATTTTGTAGTATTTATATTTCACGCATTTAGTGTGAGCACTCTATAATATAATATCATTAAGTTTGAGTATCATTTTTTATTGCTACAAAGGTCTGATCTAGTTCCAGTATTTGGATTTGGTCAGAACAATATGTGTACACAGTTGGGAGGTCCAGGATCATGGTATTGGCGAGCACAACACTGGCTATATGACAAAACTAGACAGTATGGCTTTCCTATAACATGCTGTTGTTGTCTGCCATTTGTATTCCCCTGGCGTACACCTATCAATATAGTTGGTGAGTACATCCGTGAAACTATAGGCAATGTTCACTGTTCCCTAAGCATGGTACGCATCCAACAGCTATTGCATAACCTTTTTGGCATAAAAGATATTGAAGTATAAATTGTATTWTAATATGGTTGAATAAAATTGTGCAATTTGATTGTCTTAGAGGAGTAGTATTTATCCTTAATAGTGGTATTTCAAATTGCACAATTTTATTCAACAATTTATAAACAAATAATAGCATGTTTTGTAYGTGGAATACCACTGCAAAACATGCTATTACCTTTACAAATAAATGTATTAAGACTTTATGACACATTTTTCTATGTTTCAGTTGGAAATCCAATTCGTGTGAGCAAAACACCAAACCCTACACAAGATCAAATTGATGAGCTTCAAGCCACATACATTGATAAACTACAGGAATTATTCAACACTTACAAAGTGAAGTACAACCTCCAACATTCTAAGCTGATGTTGATATAAAATAATCTGCACAACTATAACAGTTATAGCGTGTGAATAAACTACGGTATTTTATTCTAATGTTTAACCCAAACACAAAAAACTTTGGATGCATGCACAGTACAGTCCTGGCTTTTTTCATGAGCAGTTGGAAAGGAAAACAATTAGAACTGGTGCAGTRCATAAAGTGAGCTATTGTGCATAAGTATGAACAAAATAATTAATGCCATATCTGMAAATTATATACTCCCACATGTATGTTTTAGTAATATATGATTTYATGTTTGTAGTATTTAATTTTAATGTAATTGCTGTGTACATAGATCATTTTTAATAAAATCTTAAAACAACTTACATGTGTTTTGTTGGTCAACATTTACAGTCCAAAGAATAAAGCCCCGTCTRCATGAGCAGTTTTTATGCAGCAATTCATATGTGACAATATCTTTTTCTCTGCTGTGCAAAATCACCCCTGATGYGAAACTTCAACAACTATTTGCTGCCTGTCCACACGGACAAATAAAAATTGCCACATATAGTTGTCACATAAAAAATGTTGCTTTAGAGGGGGCTTACTAGTAACACTCTTTTAAAATTGTTGCAGTTTTAGGAGAACAAATTAGCTTCATTTCTAATAAAAAATTACTATTTGATATAAATAGGATAATCAAATAATTATTGKCATGGACACTTTCATATCAATATAGTTTACTGTATATTCACTAAAATACCCTTGAATGTTCCAATGTAAAAATTAACTAGATAGGTCCATTTTCTTCTTTAATTCAGAGTTAAATCCTTCCTAACCTCCTCCGGGATAATAAACCAGTTAGGAGAATGCTCATCTTTGCGCAGCCAGTTAAAATCATTAACCAATGACCAGTTGTTTTCATTGAYATCTAATCCAGCTGCCTGGAAGTGTTCTAATTTGTTGTCATATTCCATTACAAATGGTGCAAATCCAACATCAAAGCAGTCTTCAATAATTGCCCTACTAGTYACATGCAAGTAAAATTCACACTGTTTGGATTTATGAACTCTCAGTTGCTGGCAACCAAGTGCAAATGTACAGTTTGTACAATCATCAATAAATACAGAGGTTCCGATGGGAGCAGATAATATCRTGCAGTTTGTTAGCCTGTCCATATGTAAGGTTGACGCTGGCCCTAGTAATTTCACAGTACAACCCTCCAAGTCAGACAAAACTATGTCTTGCTGGACTGTTTCATTCTCTTTCATGACCAGCTCTTTGTTTTTGCACTGCGTGAATCCACTAGATGTMTGTTTGGTGTGAGCTGCCCTTACTATACCATCTTCTACATCCTTCAGTAAAAACATGTCAAATTTTATTAATTATACGCCAACGACTACTCCCTTATTCTTATTCTAATGTGTACTTATAATCCACAGGTACAAATGGTACATAAATATAAAGTTCATTTAATTACCTGATTTTTTGGGTCCGTAGAAGAAACCTCAATTTCTTTTTTACGMGAACGAAAAGCAAACTTTTTCTTTGGCATTAATCTTTCTCTCTCTTCATTGATAGCTTGCTGAAGTGCGCTTAGCCTGTCTTGAGATGATTTAATGTTGTAACTAGGTAAAAACATGCTCGAATCTGCCAAATATTTCTGTAGCTGCTGGGATTTTGTTGACATTTGCTCAAAGTGGTCAGCAATGGAATTTTTGTCSTTTCCAATACTTTGACACTTTTTCARAAGATCCTCAAGCTCCGATCTCTCTTTTGAAAARGTRGAAAGAAACATATCTTTACTTTCCTCAGGATCCRCKTTCYTGTCATTTTCGACCCTCCGTTGGTTGATTGTTTGCAATCTTTCTTCATTTCGCTGGGCAAGCCTTTTTCTGACGTCGTCCGCCATTTTGGATTTGTTTACTGCGCAGTCTCTTCTGCGCATCAGACGAGGAGAGACTGGATCAAGACCACGCTAGCAAGTCTTCTTCTTCGACTGGCAATGTTGGGTCCATGAAAGCAMTAATTATGTGAAGTTAAAGACACTATTCCCTTCTTRATAYCCCAAAATGAATCCTTATCAATACCAACAACAACAGCAGATCCAATATCAGCAGCAATATGGCACACAACAGGTTCAGTTTGTGCCTTATCCGTACACAGTTCAACAACAACCAGCTGCGATGATAAACCAATATGGCGGAACTTTCCCTGCCTATACAGCTCAGCCAAATGCAACGATAGGCCTTCCTAATGCTAGTGTAGCCCAAACTCAGTTGAAYCAATCTACGAGTACTGCTTCCACGCCACTTACAACGCCAGGGTTTCAGTATGTAGTTCAACCGGCTGTCCAGGCAGCAGTTCAAACAGCGACTACCAGTCCAGCCGTGGCTAGTTCTGCTGTATTGGCTCCGTTTGTGGATATTAATCAGAAGTAYACCGAAGAATATCAAAAATGGCAGAAGCAGTACAATGAATGGCAGGCTCAGCATGCAAACCATCCTGATCAAAAATTATTCCAAGAATATCAACAGCAAGTTCAACAATATCAACAACAACAGCAGCAACTTTTAACTGCTCAGGCTGTTCAAGTGGCTGTCGCACCTCCAYCGCAGCCCTTGGCAAGTGCTCAAGTTGCTGCTGCCGTCAATCTTAAAATCAACACCCCAGCGCAGCAAACTGTGCCACCWACTTCACAAACTACACAACAAACATTTTCATTACAAGCCGCTAGCAATGTTCCTCAAGTTAAGCAAGAGCCTCCTTCACAAAGTCAACCTCCCCAGACCTTTAATGCATATAGTAATTACCAAAATGTGAATACTTCTTTTGGAGCATCAAATCAAGTAAAACAAGAACCAAAACAACAAAATTTCACTAACTTCGTCAAAGCTCAAGATCAAAATAAACCTTTTAGTTTACAAAACCAAGCCAAGCAAGGACAACAAAGCCAACCACARCAATCGTACAGCAATGTGTTTAGTTATATAGGCAGTAACAAGTTTGGTTCACAAGGAACAGGGCAATATGAACAATCACAGCAAAGCCAGCCTCAAACATATCGTGATTTGCACAACAACAGTCAAATGCAGGGAAGTCAGTTTGGTGGACCAAATCAGGGTACTGGGCAGGCTCAAAAAACACAAAATCAACCAACTTATCGCGATATGTATCTTCAAAACCAAGCAAGCAATAACCAGTTAGGTGGATCCAATCAAGGTGCTGCACAAAATCAGCAATCATATCAAAATCAACCACAGAAGWCTTTTGATTATTCTTACAATAAAAAYCAACAGCAAAATAACCAATATGGTAATAAAGGTAACCAATGGAATCAAAATAACACGCAGTTTAATAAGARCATTAATCAGTCCAACACAGGGCAACAGCCTAATCAAGGTAAACAATTCAATCAAGGGCAACCGTTTAATCGAGGACAACAATTTAAYCGTGGCCAACAGTTTAATCAAGGACCAAGATTTAACCAAGGCCAACAGTCTAGCCAAAGTCAACAGTWTCATGGTCAACAACAGTTTAAACATGGTCAACAGCACAACCAAGGTCAACAGTTCAATCAGGGCCCACAGTTCAATCAAGGACCAAAATCCCTCTTAGGACAACARCCAAACCAAAATCCTRGACAACAATTCAACCAAGGACAGAAACCAAATCAAGGGCAACAATTCAACCAAGGACAACAGCATAATCAAGGGCAACAGCMCAAACCACAACAGCAGTTTAATCAAGGATATAAACCAAACCAAGGACAAAATTTTCCAACAAAACCAGGACCAGGAAGTCAAGGATTTCAGTCTGGAAATTCTCAGTCCAAACCACAGCCAAACTGGCTAAAAGGAAAAGGCAATGAACAAAATAGCAATTTACAAACTAACATTAACACTAGTCCAGCTAAAATAATACCAAAATGGTTGCAGTCACAGGAAAACCAACCTAAGCAACAGAATGAAACTACAACACCAAAACCTGTACCAAAATGGCTGCAATCTAACGATAACCAGACAAAACCATCAGAAACTACACCTGCATGTACAAGTAGTTCAAAACCTAAGTGGCTGGAAAGTGATGCAAATAAACCTGCAACAACCCTTGCTAGTTCTAATCAAGAGGCCAAACCTATACCAAAGTGGCTTCAAGAAACTAGAGCAACAGTACAAGAACAGCCAAAGGTACAAAGTCAAAMAACTGTACCTGAGGTAAAAAAAGAAGTGCAAGAGGCAAAGCCAATTCCAAAATGGCTRCAAGATAGTAAAACTACTGTAACCACATCACCAACACAGCAATCTACTGTTACTACAACTCAATCATCAAGGTATGGATGCAGAACTAGTAAACTTGTTTCCTTTATTTTATGTAGTTGGGTTCCAAAAGGTGGAGTCATCAAAGCTATGATTGAAAGGGAACATGGGCAAACAAATATTAAGAGTATAACAGTGTTTAAGAATATAAAGGTTTTTACATGAGGGACACTCACCTATCTACTGTGTTTCAGATATTTACAATGCTATTAGAATTATTTTATCAAACAATGTATTACATTATGTGTACATTATAATTGTGTTTGTATATCATGTCAAACCTGTCTTGTTCAGCAGGCTTTTAACTTACAGTATAGTATCATTTCTATATATTTTTATAGCCCAACAACTTCARCTACAACAACATCAGTTTTGAATAMTACATCAACAYCACAAAAACTTGACCACAAACAGCAGCTGGAAATTTTGCAGAAGCAATCRATGCAGCTCTTACAACTTGCAGAAATGGAACGAAAGAAGAAAGAGGGAAAAACAGGTCTGTTGTGATCATTGTACAGGATAGATGGGTTAGGTACAGATGTAATAATGTTATGATAATATATTTAGATATTTTTTTTTTTGATAGTAGATTCGAATGACAAACCTGCTCAGCCACCACAGGCACCCCAACCATCAGAGAACAAACCAAGCACAGCCCCTCCTGYTCAAGAAACAGCTCAGGGAGACTCTCCCCAAGAAAACACCACCCAGAAAGTGCCTGAAGCAACAAAACCTAAAGTAGAGGAGGGTAAATTTACCAATTGACTTTTTTGTGGTGTTTTTGATTTTGTGATAATTAGGATTTTCTTTTGTAGTCAAAACTGATAAAAGGCCTCCAGCCTTAGCATCTCTTCTGAAAACTGTTCCATGCAAGTTTTTYCCCAACTGTCGAAATGGTGCTGATTGCAAATTTAAGCATCCTCCATGTACAGCAGGAGACAGGTACAAACTGAGGTTCTTATAAGTAACTATGTTAACAAAAAATAGTCTGTCAGAAAGGAAGCAGAAAGTGCTAAGACTTTGTCGATGTTTCTTGTAGTTGTACAGCTGTTGATTGCATCTACGATCACTCTGAAGTTGCTGGAACTGATGTAAACACAGATCATGGTAAGTGCTCACTAAATTTATGAAATAACTGTTTCATTTGAATATACAAACAATACCAAAATAACGTTCACAAATAGGGATTGATTGAAACTACAAAGTCACTCAAGCTGAACCAATCTGTCTATTTGCAAATTTTATTTGTAACTTGTGCATGGGTTTACTGTATGTCATCATAAAATGTTCAAAACTCTAGCGGAACTATGAGCGCAGAAAGACAAAAGTGATCGATCAAACCAAGCATTTTCTAAATTACAAAGTGCCTTTTCTTAGGCGATGTTTTTTAGTTTTATTTAGTTTTTTTTTAATTATTTATTTTTTGAATTATAGCTAATAAAGATAGCCACAGCAATGAAAGATGGTATCCAGAAACRGGTGATGACCACAGRCAGTGGGGTGAAGATCAAGACTGGCATGACAGAAGAGATGACTGGGAACAAAGAAGACCTCCATCCCCTAGAGGAAGAGGTTGGGATGAAAGAGAAAGAATGAGAGATGACTATGAATGGGATAGGTACCGTGACTGGGAAAGAGATCGTTGGGAAAGACCAGAAGACTACAGAGAAGATAGGTGGGGACCCCCAGGCAGAGAACCCCCACCAAGGGATGATGATAGATATGAGTATGAACGATTGAGAAGGCCACCTGAAGATGAATGGGGTTATCCTGAGTATAGAGACAGAAGACCTCCATCTCCCAGAAGACCTCCATCTCCTAGTTATAGGAGAGATATGGACTACGATAGAAGACCATATTATGAGCATGATGATGAATATAATAGATATGATAGAGCGCCACCTCCTGATGACAGAAGAGGTGACTGGTACGGYAGAGAGTATGACAGACCTCCAAGGGATCCTGAATGGAGAGATCGTAAGTACATTGTATGGGGATATTGCAGTATAAAAAAAACTGGGTCCTTAACTGCATCTTTTCATATTGCCCTCTAACCGTWCTATTCATATTATTACACTTGCTTATAACAGTCTTGAAGGCTATTTAATCTGATGACAACACATTTCCATATGATTTCTGATTTTACTCATTATCAAACAATATCTTTATACTATTGAATTATAAATATTATTAATACATGTACTTTAGGGCGAGGTTCCCCTGAAAGATACCCGGAATCAGATTATCGACGTCCAGAGAGGTGGACCCCACCAAGAGAACACCCTCGGGATTATGAAAGAGATAGATATTGGGACGGCGGGCCTGAAGGAGATAGATGGGAAAGAAGAGACAGAGAAGGTGATTATAGAGGCTGGGAAAGAGAACCAAGGTCAGATCATTGTCAGGATTATCCCAGGGAAATGCTTCCACCAGTGGAMACAAAGAAGGCTGTTGTTGTGCCTGTTGAGAGCATACTAGACAAGCCTGGAAGAGAAACAAGACCTGATAGAGTAAGTTTTAAATTGCTTTCTTGACTACAAAATCCAGTCAACTGTTGCCATGCACACTTTCATTGTATAAAATAAAATAAATCCCTGCTCCAAAGACATTACTGAAAATAGATGCCTTTACAGCAGACATTAACTATTACAGACACTTGATTACCATCCCAAATGCATTCTTTTTATAACAATAGTTTGATATATTCTCTCTATGTCCCGTGGGACAGTGTTGATCCTAAAACCTTTGTGTCATGAGAATTAGAGAAATACATATACATGTATAAGACAGTGTACTTTTCATTTCACAGTTGATCATGAATAACTTAATTTCTCTCAATTTTTCTTGAAGTTTTATCTAACAAAACAGTATTTTYACTGAATTTATTCTTCATTGTATTTCTTTGTTTAGATTGTGATTATATTACGAGGTCTCCCTGGAAGTGGAAAGACCCATGTTGCTCGTCTTATTAAGGTAACTTAGACATTTACATGTAGAGAGGTGTGATATATTTTTAYGCATACCAGTGGAAAAACCCTTGCACATTCACGACTTTCAAAATTGGTGCAATATGTCATGGTACATGACCAGAACACTAGGAACAAAGCACTAAAACAAGGTCTCAAAGGCCAGCATCTTTATATTGTACATGTAAGCTTCGAGAATGTTTGTCATAAATAACATACCAATAACATCTTTCAAACATTTGGACACTGTCACACATGCAATCTTCATAGTGATTTTTAGATGTAAGGCCTTTGAGGTCTCGTTTCCATGATTCATCACTTGTACCCTGATATGGGCAGTTGTGAACTCCTGTCATTTTTGAAAATCTTGTATAAGAGCTTCATCAGGGGGACAAAACAAACATTGTTCGGTTTTTGAGGAACCAGATCTATCCACTGGATTGTGAACTGGATTGAGGTGTATTACTGTTCAGGAACCTTTGACAAAAATTTGATATGGTCCTTGCTTTTGCTTTCAGGACAAAGAAGTTTCTAATGGTGCTCAYGCTCCTCGTATTATTGGTCTTGATGATTATTTTCTTACTGAAGTTGAAAAACAAGAGAAAGACCCAGAAACAGGCAAAACAATCAAGAGAAAGGTAGATTTGTTTTTTTAAGTTGTTGACTTGTGTTGTTGTAGGAAAATTATTATTAAAACTTAGCTTATATATTTAAGGCCTGTTTACACTTGTGATTTTTGCAGTGCGATTGTYGCGTGATAATTGCCAATTTGCTATCATGCAACTAAAATCGTACATGTAAACAGCCCTGCAATTGTTGTGGGGATGGAAAATCGCCACGTAGCTGCAGCCAATTTTCAAGCATGGTTAAATATAAAATTAATTGTTATTATAAAAAGTAAAACTAATTATATCTGTACTGTATTTACATTAGGACACATCTTTCACTCAATTACACTTTGTAATCAACAGGATTCTTTTTAGTAGTTATATTAACTTGTACAGTTCACACAAAAAAAGTAGTAACAATATTAGTACTTAGTATATTTATATTTAAAGCACTGTAGTTCTTCATGTTTTTTTTTCAAAAATGTGACAAATTACAATGAGTTTTTGCATGAGAGAATTTCTTGTTGCTGACACACTCAAATCAGGTTAAAAGTGGGGAACTAGTGTGCAAGAGTTCAGAGTGAGACGTTTTGTTTACAGGTGATGGAGTATGTATATGAAGARGAGATGGAAGAGACTTACATGGCCAGCATGTTCAAAGTCTTTACTAAAACCCTTGAGGATGGCTTCTTTCCAGTGGTCATGGTAGATGCCATTAACAACAAGGTATTGAGAAATGTTTAACAACAACATGAATGGATGTACTGTGTGTATAAGGCTAATATTGAAGCCTTCCCAAATAGTGGAAAAAGTAGTCTATTTAGGATTGTTTTTGAAAATTCAATTAAAAATTTAAGATTTATGAAAGTAAAAATTATGATTTAGCTTGTACTTTATCAATTGTCATCCCTGCTYTCTTGAATATAATTTGAATTGTATTTTTTGAAGGTTACACATTTTGAGAAGTACTGGAGTCTTGCAAAGCAGAAGGGATTTGAGGTTTGTATTGTACTTCGGTAACATGCTTCCTTTTGTTACTTAAACAGAGTTTTTGCCATTATATCCAAAAAGTGAAGGTCAAAACTGAGCTCCACATGAGCTGAAACCCTTAAAAAGTTGAGCAACTTTTAACTTGGTAATAATTTATGGACATTGTACATGTGTATTCTCCTTTTTACATGTATATTGCTTTTTAGTATCAACCAAACCATATGGGCTATTACAAATCCAGGATTTTGATTGTCCACTTAACTATGATACATGTATATTCCTGATAGACCAGGAAGCATCGAATGAAGCGAAATAGTTGAAAAAATGTCAAGAAAAATTGTTCTTTCAATGTTCTTTATTCAAATTTGACCTAACATTTGTTGGATACTAAAACAATCAGACTTCTTAATCTCTTGAACTATGAGTTGTTAGTCCTTTTGGCTGAGTACGGTTTCATGGACTATCAACTTGTAGTCCAGTCGACCTTGGGATCTAATTGTTAACTTATGTTTACAGTATGTTTTTTTTCTGGCATTTGTGCATGCACTCATTTATTTACAAATAAATCTATCACCAATTTTTCAATAGTTAGTTATTTTCATATGAAGGGTTTAAAGAGTTTATTTGAACGATACAGGTTTACATTGCTGAGTTATCAGCTGATGCTCATATTTGTGCAAAGAGAAATAGTCACCAGCGATCCTTTGCRGATATCAGCCAGGTAATTGTTGGAATATGTATATTTATTTTTCATTTCTTCACCAGACAAGTACCCTATACTGCTGTCTTGTTCGTTAGTCAATCATGAATAAACATTCCTTGAAACTAATCATTTTCAAGTCTGTATGGAAAGAGTACGTCTATCACTTAATAACATCACATTAGAACATTCTGCTATTTTGATGCCAATGATAACGATTGCCAGAAAGGTACAGAAGATTTCCATTGTTTTCAGCAAAGCTATCCCCCATTGTACACATGCTTTGATGTCATTATGCAATAGGACTGTATTTTCCTGCATGTGGATTGTGACTAGCAGACTTTTCTAGAACAGTTTATTTCATTGACAGATGTTGCAAGAATGGGAAGAGAGCCCGGCACACATGATGAGATTAGATGTGCGTGCGCTTTTGCAAGATGCCGTTATTACAGAGGTAGAGTACTGCATGTCTAAACATACTTTAAATCGACATTAGTCACCATACACAGCATTCGTTTGAACTCCTTCTGGAGGAATTTGACTCTTTCCAAAATGAGTTAAACCTCTTGGAGTAAAATGTACTCGCATTGTACTCCATTTGAGGAGTAATTTYAACTCCTTGAAAATAACAGTGAGGTCAAAACGTGGATATCTACATGTAAGAGCTGTGATAAAGTTTATCTCAATGAAAAATTTTCACAGGTTGAAATGGAAACCGCAGAGGAGACACCAGCACCACARCTAACTGAAGAAAAGAAACCAGAAGCCGAGGGCAATAATGAGGAGGATGACGACGTAACTGAGGTATGACATACTTACTAAAMTACTTGTATTTCAGTGTTACAAAAGGATTAAATATGAAGGTATGACACTTAAGGGAGTATTACATAGATTATTATTACGTGTATGCACTGTTTCCTGTGAGATCTTCTTGTGCAAAAGATACATTGAAAAGGGAAAAAAAATTGTCGTAAAACTTTCTCTTGACAGCTTTTTTACAGCCGTAAAAAAGTTGTTAGAGAAAATAAGAGATGAAAAATGTTTGGCTTTGGCTAACCCTCAAAATTCCCAATGGCTTGTGAAAGCAGTCAACAAGTCATTGTTAAGTTCATATCCTAACTGTGGTATCTTTATTTGTACTTTGTATAATGACAGTGTACGTAAATAAGGTCCGGGTTAGGGTGTTTGTAGTGCAATTTGATGAATAAACTGCTGTTTCAGTCCGGGCTACAGATTCATTTGCCACAAAAAAGCAAGTGGGACGACATGGATTCTTCAGCGGCAGAAGCACAACTCAGTAAGTAATACAACAACTTATCATGAATGATAGTACAGTTATGAACCCAACAAACAAGAMKCTTTTTAACTTGGTAATCATCAGTTGTTTACAAGTTGAATTTGATAACCTCCTACAAAATATCACGTGGCCTACTTGKTGGCAACTAAAGGCAACGCTTCGTATCCTTTTATTCTTTTTGTTGTACAAGGGTTTTTATTTGTTCTGGTCCATTCTCATTCTTCGTATTTCACTTTTTCAAGTGCGGATGGGTTGAGAAAATCTTCAATGCATGGGCTGACTGTGGTGTCACAAAGAGCGTTGAAAATGAAGTCAATACATTGATATATATTTTACTATGTTGGCAGCTCATTCTTATGTTGTTTTTTTTTTTTTAATTTAAAAATGATTTCAAGATTGGCGGTTGGATTCTGTCAATAATACACAACTAACAACAACTTTGCAACGTTTCACGGCCCCTTGAAGTTTCAGTTCGGCTTACAACTCCAAACATGAGTGAGAGTGCATTCCTACTCTCAGAGTTTAGTCATAGTCTAATGTTTACATGTCTGTTATCAGATAAACTGGATGGTATTCGTCCCATGAAGAGAAGAAGACAATCGTCGCCAGTTCCTTCGCTCAGTGACGATGATGACGATGATCCTTATGATGAGAAAGAGGAAGACATGAGGATCGGCAAAAAACGGGTACAAACAACATTGATTAATGAAGGGGAATGCTACTGAAATATTATTGTTTGTATTCACTACACTAAGTCAGTAAAAAGCAAGAAAAATGCTGCTGATTTGTAGAATGTGTTCTTGTGTTGCTGTGTGTGTGTGTTGTGATGGCAGCTGTTGCTGCAGTGATGGTGGCTATTACACGTATTATTACGTGTTTATTGTGCTTCCTTGCTTGCTTGCTTGCTTGGTGCTTCTTGTAGCTCTGAATGTTCAGCTATGTTCACGGTGTTGTGTGATGGTGGCTGGAGTTGGAACTGAAAGGTTGGCTATATTGGTAGCGCTTATAGTTGGTGGTGGTGTGGTGGTTGTATAGCTGGAGATGTTTTGATTGTAGTTGCTAATGTTGCGATGGTAGTGGTCAAAGTCGTTGTCATAGTGGTAGAGGTTTTTCCTTAGTGTTGCGGTTGATGGCCTCGGTTGTTATTGTTTAAACATCTTCTAAATACGTTTCTCTTTTTATCAACAGGTTCGTTGGGCTGACCTTGAGGAGAAAAAACACATGGAACACAGAAGAAGAATAGGGTTCTGTATTGGAACAGACTGGAGCATCCTTACTGATCCCCATGCTAAGATACCTGAACATTAATCACACTGTTTGTTTTCTTTTTCTTTTGTAATATACAAGGTAAGTCAAGAATCAATTCCTAAGGTGTTTTTAAGTCAAACATTTATTATTATCATCATCATCATCATCGTTCGGCTGTTACACAGTCGACTACAAGACGTTTCCAGTTGACCCGGTCTTGGGCAGTTCGTAGAATGTCTGATTCAGTGAAATTGCCAGTTATTCTGATAATTTTAAATTACTTAAAAGTAATCATCGTACTTAAAAAGCACTGAATGAAAACGTATCATTATAAGAAGTGGACGTTTCTAGTCATAAAATGTACTGTTGGATTCAAAAAACGTCTAAAATTCTGAATCGCCATATGGCCTATCCAAAATTATATGCTTATTATTAGATTGGACGTCACTACATCGAGAAGTAAT